AGAGAGAGAGAGAGAGAGAGAGAGAGAGAGAGAGAGAGAAAGGCAGAGAGACAGAGAAACAGAAAGAGACAGAGAGAGGAGTAAGGTGGGGATAAAGGGGAAATATGGCCAATTTCTCTCCTAAAACTGATTGATTTGGGCTGACTGTGATTTTGCCTTCTTTATGGTGGCAGGGGGCCCGGGGACATGCTTGTAACTCTTGGCTGTGCTACCAAAGGGAGAAATGCAGCATGGGGAACACTTTCTATTTGGAGAACCCAGGCTGAGCAGGGACAGGGAAACCCAGCTTAGAAGTAGGAGACTTGAAAGAACCAACTCCAACTCTCAGCAGCCTTCCAGCCCCCTCCCACCATCACCAGCTAAAGCTCAGATGGTCAGGAGAGAAAGCAGCTCTGGAGCTGAATAGGCCAATCTGTTCATTTTACAGAGGAGAAACCTGAGGTCCAGAGGGGCTAAATGACTTTCCCAGAACCACACAGCATTTCACTGGGAGATTTAAACTGAGATCATGTCATGTGACTCCAGTCCAGGGCGTGCACCCTCACCTCTCAGATCCTCTCGGGATGGGCTACTGATTTTCCAGGACTCAGGAGTCCTCCAGGAGACCTTTCTTTTCCTGGCACCTTCCCTCTTCCTGTCATAATCCCAGAGCTCATCTCTCTTCTTTGTATGTGAAGGTCAGAAACAAGGGAGAGACAAGGATAGGCAAGAGTAGGAGGTGAAGTGGTACCCAGCCCACCTTTGCAGAGCACCTCTGGAGAGTCCTCTTTGTTGTCTCTTGGGAACAAGAGGCTCCCAGGAGGGCCTTTCCCTGCCCCTCTCCATTCCTACCCTTCACTCTGCTGCTTCTGGGGAATGATAGCCCAGCGTGGGTGGGAGAGTACCCCCACCCAAGGGAAGAGGGGATGCTGAGAAACCAGGCGCTGCTGCATATTTCCAGGGGTTCATCTACTTCCTCGCCTTCAATTAACCCTCTGACCCATCCTGATTTTCAGGTTGACCTAAAGCAGCTTCCAAGATGTCTCAGCAATGTACTCTGCCAGGGACCTCGCCCCCTGCCCCCAGTAAGGAGCCCCTCAAGCCTGTTTCTCCTCCCACTGATATCCAGCAGGAGCAAGTGAAGCAGCCAACTCCACTGCCTGCCCCATGCCAGAAGGTATCCTCGGAGTTCCCAGGGAAGGATCCCATGGAGCTCGGGAAGAAACACACAACTCCTGTGCAGGGGGTGCCCCAGAAAGAGTGTGAGCCACAGCAACAGGAGCCACAGCAGCAGGAACAGCAACAGCAGCAGCAGCAGCAGCAGCAGCAGCAGCAGCAGCAGCAGCAGAAAGAGTCACAGGAGAAGGAAAAGCATGAACAGCAGCAGCAGCAGCAAGAGCCACAGGAGCAAGAAAAGCATGTGGAACAGCAGCAGCAGAAAGAGTCACAGGAGAAGGAAAAGGATGTGGAACAGCAGCAGCAGCAGCAAGAGCCACAGGAGCAAGAAAAGCATGTGAAACAGCAGCAGCAGAAAGAGTCACAGGAGAAGGAACAGCATGTAGAACAGCAGCAGCAGCAGCAAGAGTCACAGGAGCAAGAAAAGCATGTGGAACAGCAGCAGCAGCAGAAAGAGTCACAGGAGCAAAAAAAGCATGTGGAACAGCAGCAGCAGCAGCAAGAGCCACAGGAGCAAGAAAAGCATGTGGAACAGCAGCAGCAGAAAGAGTCACAGGAGAAGGAAAAGGATGTGGAACAGCAGCAGCAGCAGCAAGAGCCACAGGAGCAAGAAAAGCATGTGAAACAGCAGCAGCAGAAAGAGTCACAGGAGAAGGAACAGCATGTAGAACAGCAGCAGCAGCAGCAAGAGTCACAGGAGCAAGAAAAGCATGTGGAACAGCAGCAGCAGCAGAAAGAGTCACAGGAGCAAAAAAAGCATGTGGAACAGCAGCAGCAGCAGAAAGAGCCACAGGAGCAAGAAAAGCATGTGGAACAGCAGCAGCAGAAAGAGTCACAGGAGAAGGAACAGCATGTGAAACAGCTGAAACAGGAGAAGAAGGTCTTGGGCCAGCAGCTGGATCAAGAGCTAGCAAAGAAAGATGAGCAACTGGAAAAGAAAGGGGAGCAACTGCTGGAGCAGCAGGAGGGGCTGCTGAAGCAGCCTCTGCTTGTTCCAACTCCTGGCCAGGTCTATGGGACAAACCCAGTCCAGCCACTGAAGGGAGAAGTCTTGCCCCCTAAAGAAGCAGGAGGTGTAGTGTCCCCCAAACATAAGTAACCACCCCTAGGGTCCCAGAGGTGCCTGGAAAGCCCACGCAAGTGAAGAGATTGCCAGTGGCCTGGCTTACCTCCAGTCCCCAGCCTGGGTGGCCCATCTTATCTGTGAACCTGCCTGACCCTGTCCTTCTGCATGTCTCTTGGATAGGGCTTGCGGGAGAGGGGAGCTATTGCCCAGCACCCATCCCTGATGAGCCCAATCCCAACCTCAGGTGGCCAGAGCCTCTGCTTGAAGAGACAGTGACTACAGCAACTCTGACTGCATCCCCACTACTATTGCTGAATCTGTGAGTGTGTACAATAATGCAGAATAAATGCTGGAAGACCTGGGATCCTGTATTCTCTTTGGTTTTTTACCCTCTGTCGCTCACCGTATAAAAACCTGTGTGGGGGTTAATGGTTGCAAATGACTCTTGGCCAATTTCCAAAGGAGGACAGACATTTTGACCCCTTTTTAATTCTGCTCCCCAAACCATTCAATACATTCAACAGCTTCTAATAATGAAATCATAACAACACCAAAAGAAAACAAAACAACTTCATTCATGCACCTGAAAGGAGCACTTAGCAGTCATGAAACAACTTCATTCATGCACATGAAAGTAGCACTTGGCAGTCATGAAGAGGAGATAGGTTATTCTGGTTGGGGGAAGAGGATCTATTCATCTCAGTTCAACACTGCTTTACATTATACCCATGGAGCCCAATCCTAGCCCATGGCCAAAGGCACGGGGAGGGAGTGGAGGCTCCAGCTGGGTTCTGGTCCCTGCCCAGGTTTTCTCTCCATAGAATGTCCTCATGGTTTCCAAGAGTCTTAATAACCACCTCCATGGTTAAGGAAGACTTTAGGAAAGCAAAAAAGCAGAACTGGGCAAGATGGGGAGAGGAGCGACTCCTGGGACTGGTCTCTGAAGGAGAAAGTGACAGTGTCACTAAAGGAAGTAAAGGTTGGGCCAGCTGGAATCATGGAAGCCAAAGTGCTGAATAGCCTGGAGAAATACAGATCCAAGGTCATTGCAGTGGTTACCCTCCCTGACATTTCTGTAGCCTTTCCTGCCATCAATCACATCAGAATGTGGGGGCTCTCTCCTTCCTGGGAATCACCTGGCTCTAACTATTTAACCACATCATCTCAGGCAGGCTGTATCAAGTTACCCAAAGCTATTTCATCACAGCCATGAGCATATGTCAGGGACATCCCTTTTGAGACTGCCGCAGGCACCCAAACTCAATAGGTTGAAGGGCACTTAGTATCTCTTACTGCCCACCCAACTCCAGGGACACCCACTGTCATTCCTCCTTAGGTATTCTCTCTCTCGGGTAATGATACCTTCTCTGCATTCACTGAAGCCAGAGACAACACATCATTCTCCACTCCTTTCCTTTTCTTCCCTACTCTCCACCAGAGACCAAGTCCTTGCTATCCTTACCCACACCTCCCAAGCTTTGAATGAGGTAATTTCTCACCTGAACTATTGCAATGGCCCTCAAGCTGTTCTCCTTTGCTCCCTGTCTCCACACACCCTGCAATCCACCCATCATACAGAGGACAGGGTGTTCTACTTAAAATTCTGATCTAGTTTCAGCTGTACAACTTCAGATTCTTTTCCATTATAGGTTATTATAAGATATTGAATATAATTCCATATGCTATGCAGCAAATCCTTGTTGTATATCTATTTTACATATAGTAGTAGGGTGTAATAGACCTTCCTTTAGAACAGTTTCCAATTTATGAAAAAGTCAAGAAGACAGTAAAAAGAGTTACCGTACACTTCACACCCAGTTTCTCTTATTATTAACATCTTACATTAGTATAGCACATTTATTATTATAATTAACAAAACTGTACTGGTACATTATTATTAACTGAAGTTCATGGTTTATTCCTATTATTTTAGTTTTTACCTACTGTCTTTTTCTGTTTCAGGATCCCATCTAGAATATCACATTACATTTAGTTGTCTTGTCTCCTTAGGCTCCTCTTGACGGTGACAGTTTCTCACTTTCCTTGTTTTTTGATGACCTTGACAGTTTTGAGCGGTCCTGGTCAGATATTTTATAGAATATCCCTCAAATTGGGTTTGTCTCATGTTTTCTTCACGATTAGACTGGAGTTATGGGTTTTTAAGAGGAAGACCACAGACGTTAAGTGCCTTTTTCATCACATTGTTTAAAGGGTACATACTATTCACATGATTTATCACTTTGATCACCTGGCTGAGGTAACATCTATCAGGCTTTGCCACTCTAAAGTTACTCTCCTCATCCTCTCTCCAACATCCCATATTACTGTACTGTATTCTTTGGAAGGAAGTCACTGTGCAAAGCCCACAATTAAGAAGTGGGGAGTTGGGGCTTCCCTGGTGGTGCAGTGGTTGAGAATCTGCCTGCTAATGCAGGGGACATGGCTTTGAGCCCTGGCCTGGGAGGATCCCATATGCCGCGGAGCAACTAGGCGCGTGAGCCACAACTACTGAGCCTGCGTGTCTGGAGCCTGTGCTCCTCAACAAGAGAGGCCGCGATAGTGAGAGGCCTGTGCACTGCGATGAAGAGTGGCCCCCGCTTGCCACAACCAGAGAAAGCCCTCACACAAAAACAAAGACCCAACACAGCAAAAATAAATAAATAAATTAATAAACTCCTACCCCCAACATCTAAAAAAAAAAAAGTGGGGTGTTAAGCTCCCCATCACTGAGGGTGGAGTGTCATCATAAATTATTTTGAATTTCCTGTATAGGAAATGTATCTCTTCCCTCTCCTTATGTATGTATATATGTATGGACATATGCATTTAATCATTTATTTATGTCAGCATGTACTCATGAATATTTATTTTATAATTTGGGCTATAACCCAGTAGTACTTTATTTTCTATTTCATTGTGGTGAAATAAATATTACATAAAATTTACTATATTAATCATTGTACAGTTCAGAGGTATTAAGTACATTCATGTTGTCGTGCAACCATCACCACCATCCATCTTGCAAAATTGTAACTCTGTACCTATTAAACAACAATTCCCCATGACCTTCTCCCCACAACCCCTAGCAACCACCGTTCTACATTTTTTCTTTTTTTTTAATCTCCCTTTTTCCCCTACACCACTGTTTCTTGTAACCACTATTCTCCCCTCTGCTACTATAAGTTCAGCTTTTTTTGGTCACAAATATCAGGGTTTCCTCCCTTTCTAAGACAAAATAATATATGATGTATTATATCTATATTACATCAAAATATAATATGTTATATACCACATTTTCTTTATCCATTCAACCACTGACACTTAAGTTGTTTCCATATCTTGGCTATCATGAACATGGGGTATCTCTTCAAGATACTGATTTCATTTTCTTTAGATATATACCCAGAAGTGGTATTGCTGAATCATATGGTAGTTCTATTTTTAATTTTTTGAGGAAACTTCATATTGTTTAGTATAATAATTGTAGCAATTTACATTCCTACCAACAGTGTACAAGGGTTCTCTTTTCTCCACATCCTTGCCAACACCTGTTAGCTTTTGACTTTTTTATAGTAGCCATTCTAACCGGTGTGAGAGGATATCTCATTGTGGTTTTATTCGTATTTCCCTGCTGATAAGTGATGCTGGGAATCTTTTCATATACCTGTTGGAAACAGTATGGTGCTGACATAAAAATAGACACTTAGATCAATGGAACAGAATAGAGAACCTAGAAATAAATCCATGCTTATGTGGTCAACTAATTTTTGACAAAGGCGCCAAGAATAAACGATGGAGAAAGGATAGTCTCCTCAATAAATGGTGTTAGGAAAATGGATATCCACATGGAAAGGAATGAAATTAGACTCTCAGAATGATACACAAAAAACAACTCAAAATGGATTAAAGACTTAAGGGCAAGACCTGAAACCATCAGACTTCTAGAAGAATATATAGGGAAAAAGTTCCTTGGCATTGGTCTTGGCAATAATAGTATGGATCTGACACCAAAGCACAGAAAACAAGAGCGAAAAAAAACAAGTGGAATGCATTAAACTAAGAAGCTTCTGAACAGCAAAGGAAACCATCAACAAAATGCAAAGCAAATTAAGAATGGGAGAAAATATTTACAAACCATATATCTGATAAGGGGCTCATATCCAAAGTATATAAGGAACTCTTACAACTCAATAGCAAGAAACAAAAATAAAACAAAACAAACAACAAATAATCTGATTTTAAAATGGGCAAAGGACCTGAATAGTATTTTCTTTATTTTGTTGCTCAGATTCTTCCAGCTTTGGCCATCAGGAGCTTTTTCAGTTGGCTCCTATGTCCTTCATTAAACATCAATGTGGAGTTTTAAAATTTTGTTTTATTTTCTGTTTTTTCCTTTGTTCCTTTGTTTTGTCTTTTGAGCATTTCCATCCTTTCTGGTGCTACAAGGTGCTCCAGGCACATCTTGTATATTCCTGCCCCAGTCCTAGAGTCAATAATTTCTTCAAGGAGCCCTTGTTGATTTTACTGGATAATGGTATTAGAAACTAAGATATAGGTACTTGGTGTGCTCATTGCTACTAGTTTATTATTTCTTTTGGGCCCTCTCGGCTGGCAAAGGAAATATATATGTGTATACTAACCCATGTGTGTGTGCATTTTTATAAGTAACCATCTATATTTACAGAATATTAAGCTAAACATAGTTCATATTAAGGCCTCCAACTGTAATCCGTTATCACACCAGCCTCTTCCACTTTCTCATCTGTAAATTCTGACTCCAGCAGTGAGAAACCTCACACCCACCATCCATTTCTTAGTTGCTCATTTCCAGTTTATATTTATAGCAGAATCAGAATTGTTAACCTGAAACCCCATACTTCCAGTGTAAGTATCCTTATCAACTATATCGCAGTGCTTAAGAGCAGTTCCTTTGCCTTTAAGAGTCCACAGATTTCTCTCATCTCCAAAGTTATTTAGGTTAGCGTCTTTTTCTCTCACCCCTCGGTGAGGTAGTTTCATACATTTGTAACACA